GACAAGATGGATAGATGGGTGGGCGGGCTGTGATGAGTGAACAAGATGGATGGATACGCAGGATGGATGACTGGATGGATTGGATCTGCATGGACGGTGTGAAGGCAGAACCCCGACCGCCGACCCCGACCGCCGACCATATTTCAGCCGACCAGTAGGGCCGACCGGTCGGCGGTCTGCCGACCAGTCAGAAAACAACCATCCACTGATGTTTTTTCAAATCTCAGTTGGGGGCTGTACTGCGCTTGAGGAGTACAGCCCAAATCTGCTGAGAAACTTTTGGGATGGGGGGGAGTGGGAGGGGGTTGGAGGGGGGGTATAGGGGGGTTTTGGAGGAGGTAATGAGGGTGTTGGGGGCAGTTTGGGGGTGTTGGGGGGTGTATGGGGGTATTGGGGACCGCTATGGGGGTGTTGGTGGGGTTATTAGGGGTTCTGGACCCTTCTTTTTTTTTTTTTTTTTTGTGCGGGGTGCCGACGATCCCCGACGGTAGGTGCAGACCAGCCGACTGGTCGGCGGGTCGGCAGCCGACCAGTCAAGGGCGGCCTACCGTCGGGGTATGCAACACTGATGGATGGGCAAAAGGTATTTTGATGAATGGATAGAATGAATGGCTAGATTTTGCAGGATTGATGGATGGACAAGATTGCAGCGCAGAGAGCAATGCAGAACGTGCGGTATAGAACAGTCATTGCAAATCTATTTAAGTAATCTGCTTGGGATCAATCAAATGGCTAATGGCTATGTTTGGAATTTGGACAATCTTATGTGATGAAATGCGTCTGCCAGGAAATGGCTGGCGATGCAGACGATATATAAAGGAGAGATGTACCTGCCCCAAACCAGGCCCAACCCTTGTCCAAACCTTGTCCAGTGGAATAGGCAAGATCTGATCCGCAGTTGCGTGCTTCAATGCTGCAGCTTGTTCATCCTGTTGTTCAAGCTATCGGCACCCGAAAACATAAAGAGAAGCAAACCTGACCACGGTTGGAGCAGGATTGGACCAGGTTTGGACCAGGTCCAGTTTGGAGGAGTCAAACTATACAATTTTTGGAGGAGAGCAGCGCTGTGCTATGGAGAGTGATCCATGAAGCGGGGAACGGGGAGGGAAGCAGGCCAGCTCCAAGAGATGAACTGCTGCGATCAATCACTAATGAACGCTAAAAGCAACAACTGCACATGCAGTCGCATACATGTGATGCAGATTAAGAAGAAAGAAGCTTTATCCAATTTCAGATAATCTCGACAGCATTTACAATGACGCCCCCTCCCTCCCCCCCCCCCCCCCCCCCCCCCCCCCCACCCCCACTACTTGTCTTATTTCTTTCTCACCTGAACTCAAATGCCATTCTGATCAGCTTACCCCATTAGAGCTGCTCCTGCTGAAAGGAGCAAGGGAGGTTACCTGAAAGGAGAACTAACACCTCCTCCTCCTCCTCCTCCTCCTCCTCCTCCTCCTCCTCCTCCTTCTTCTTCTTCTTCTTCTTCTTCTTCTTCTTCTTCGGATCATATTAACATCATCATCACGTAAGTTTTTCTGTCATCATCAGCATCAGCGTCGTTAGTTTTCATACCTTTATTCTGCTCAATGTTTTTGTTCGTTGTTTGGTTTTCCCTTCCTTTCGGGGGAGGGATTCGTAAGCCCTTGACCGTTGGTGCTGTTGGCCCATCAGGTAGAGCCGTTAACCAATAGTGCCATGTGTGTGACGCTCCGCCACCATAGAGGTACTGTTTGCCCCTCTGTTCGACATTTTCAATAGCGACCGTCTGGGCCAAAGGGGGGTAATGTAGGTTTGCAATTGCGATAATGTCTTTATGCGGATAGCCTTGAATAGCAGTTTGCTGACGTTGCGTTTCTGACTCTTGATCCTGATCGTTTGGTCTGTGTTTATCTGCTGGCTGACATGCAGTGGTCGTTGTAGCAACACAATTCAAGGGCGCCATCTTATAGCAGATGACAAAGGTATGCCAGTCATTTATTGTGTGTGTATGCATTGCTATGTGGCATTTGTGTGTATGTAGAGAGGGTTCAGCCTCCGGATGAGTCGGTGAAACTCTGACGGAACAGACTGTCGCAGCTCCCCATTTCTTTTTCTTTTCGTCCTTTCTGCCTACGGTTCACTGGGCAGTTCTCTATGACTATATAGCAGGGTTGCCCAGGCGCCGACCACCGATGCCGACCAACGACTGGTTTGCAGCCGACCAGTCGAGGAGACCGGTTGGCGGCAGCCTTCTCCTGTTTTTTTTTTTTTTTTTTTTTTGGTTGTTGTTGTTAAGACGTAGCTGTACTGCACACTTGGCCTGTACAGCCCAAATCCACATAGCAACTCTGAGTTGCTGCATTTTTCTTTCTGGAGGTTGAGGGGGGGAAACGGAGGGGTTGGGGGGCTGGATATGGAGTTGTGGGGGGTTTGGGTGGGGGCTGGGGTTTCTCTCTCTGTCTGTCTGTCTGTCTGTCTGTCTGTCTGTCTGTCTGTCTGTCTGTCTGTCTGTCTGTCTGTCTGTCTGTCTGTCTGTCTGTCTGTCTGTCTNTCTGTCTGTCTGTCTGTCTGTCTGTCTGTCTGTCTGTCTGTCTGTCTGTCTGTCTGTCTGTCTGTCTGTCTGTCTGTCTGTCTGTCTGTCTGTCTCTCTCTCTGTAAGCATCTGCATATTCTCAACTCCTGCTGCTATTGCTGTTACTTGAAGAGCTTGTCGGTGAAGAAGAACATGAAGAAGAAGAAGCTGGTGTGCTCGACGACTAAGACGTCTCGTCATCCTCTTGCACACGCTTCCTCTCCTCTTCACTGCAGGTCGTCTTGGTGATCGGGCGGGGGCAGCAGCTTTCTTCTGGATTTTCTGAGCCTTCTTCTTTGCTGCTCTCACAGCGCGCTTCGATGCTGGCAAGACCTCAGGCGGTGTAGCAGTCCGACGTGCTTTGCCTTGTCCTGTTGTGGTCTTCGGTGCGCAGGCCGCCTTTGACTCGTTTGTTGACTCTTTCTTTGTGCCCGCCATGCTCTTCACCTTGCGCACTTTGCTTTCATCGATTCTTGGTGCCGACACCGTGGGCCGTCGTGTAGCATGCGCGGATACAAGCGTAGGTCTGTCCACCTCATTACTCGGGTTTCTCCCCAGTGTACTTGAGGCTGTGGGCTCTCCGCTGCAGCCGGTGCATTGTCATAATCTGTGAACCGTGGAACGGGCGGGGTCGGTCCGGTCCAGTAAATCTGGCCCGATTCGCAGTATCCTCTCCCCTTTCCAAGGGCCATGGGGATAAGGAAGGAGGCAAACCAATTTAACCAGACTCCCTTGAGGTGCAATGGGGCGAAAGCGAATGGAATGTGTTCCTCAATTTGGATTATTCAACACGCAAAATGACAGGAAAGGTATTGACTAAATTATTATTATTATTCTATAGCAAAGAAAACTTTGATGAAGTGAATTTCAAATTTGTAAAGTGCTTAAAGCTTCTAAAACAGAGTTATTAACTTATTAAAAGTTATTACTACAACAATACCAAGGTTGCAAAACGAAAATAATTTGTGATGCAAACTATCTTACCAGCCTTTTATGTCGGGGTCCCTCCTGTCTGTCCGGGATGTGCAGCTGGACGTCTGGTCCAGACGTCCCCGCCTGGAGGAGGGGTCTTGTCCGGTCCGGCACAAGTTAGACGATTGGGGGTAGCACTTAAAAAAAAAAGCAGATCATAAAATCTGAAAAAAAAAGTCTTGTTGAGGACTCTATAATAAACAACTTTTGCGTCAGGATGATTTCCAATTTCGTAATTAAATTTGGAGATAAAAGAATAAAAACCAAAACAAGTTGAACATATCTTCTTTTTTAAATTTTTAATTTTTTTATTATATTTTATTTATTTATTTATTTATTTATTTATTTTTTTAACTAACAATTGTCCGGGGGAAAAAAAACTTCCGGATAAAAAGGTGCCGGAGATCCGGTACAGACATCGGGACTCGGCAGTGCCGCTGACCGTCTGGTAGCCTAGGATTGAAATCATGCTTGGAAATTTGAAATTATGACGGGAATTATGATTGAACTGTTGTATGCAGGACGAGTTTGCGAAAGGCTGATTGTTGATGTGGCATCAGGATGCTGCCCTGAAAGTTCTGGCCCTCGATTCCAGTGTTTGTATGGTCAAGATTCCACTTCCACCATAGACCAATGTCCTTCATCCTTTTTTTCCCCTCCTTCCCTCTTTTCTTATTTTTACTTATCTGTTTTTGTCATATTCCTCTTTTTTTGGAAGTACGTTAATGTGTTACCAACCGGGTTGCCCGGATCACGTTTTGGTTGCCTGGATGGCCCCGGCCGGGCAAGAGCCAGGGAAGTACCCTGTAAAAAAAAAAAAAAAAAAAAAAAAAAAAACCCCGAAAAAACCTATGTTGTGCAGAAAAATAAACTGAGGATTTTTTGCTTCAGGGTCGGATCAAAATTCTTTATCAAAATACAAAAAAAAAGTAAAATAATGCTAAATTAAAAAATGATAAAAAATTAAAAATCTTTATTTTTCTTTTTTAATTCACTTTTGGCCTGGCCGGCAAGTGGTCCCGGGCCATGAGAGGACTGCCCCTTGTAACTGGTCATCTTGTATGCTCATCCCCCCTTGGTCTCTGTCATGTTTCCACTTGTTGGTAAACTGCTACTCCTCTCCCTCCCCATTATACCCAAACACCCTAAACACTGAACCCCAAACCTTAAACCCCAGACCCTCACCCCTGAACCCCAAATCTTGAACCCTAAACCCTAAAGCTTGAATGCTATAGTGTATACCCTGAAAGCTAAACCTTGCACCGTAAGCGCTTAACCCCAGACCCGGAATCGTAAACACTACCTTATTCCCCCGAATACACCGTACGGTCATTATAGCGGTATTTGAGCCATCTTTCACTCTAGATACAGTGATAATGACCGTACATTGTATTCCGGGGAAGAAGGTAGCATCTGTCGATATATGCTTTTCTATCTGTGAGAAGTTGTGAACCTCTGGTTAGTAGCCATAGCCACAACCGTTTGAAATCAAAGGGTGATCTCTGTGTCTTCTTTTCTGGTCCTTAAGCGACTCAGGGCTCTCCAACCCGTAGGGTAGAGGCGGCCTACTAGGCGGTCATACTATATCTTTCCAATTCTTTCGTCTTTAAACATCTCGGCCTTTACTTTTTTGTGATCTTCTCGCTTTGCAATTTTGATCTTCTCGCTTTGCAATTTGGTCCCTTTACGTCGTCTTCATTGCTCGAGTGGGAAGAGTGTGCAGTAAGGGTAAGGGTTTGTTTCAGCGTTGTTGAGAAGGCGTTTAATGTCGCTTTCTCTGTTCTTCTCCCCCCCGTCTTCCGGAGGCTGTTTGCACGTTGCAGTTGGTAGTTGCATGCATGCACTTAACATTTTTGTCTTCCCTTTTGTATAGCGGCAGCCGTGTGTAAAAAAATCTGGTATGCCGTCAAGACTAAATCGAAAGATCGAAAGGTGTCGTTTTCTAGAAAGTTAACTTTCTCACTCTAGTATGCCCTTAATCCCCAAGCAAAAGGCGTAGGTTTTCAAACTCCTGTGGATTTGTTGTTTGCAGTATAATAAGTCATCGAAAACGATGGAAAGTCCAAAGAAAGTCCAAAGAAAGCCACTGTAAGGTGTAGGTTTTCGTACTCCTGAGTGTGTTGAATCTGGCAGGCATTTATGACTCTCAAGTTGGTCTTAGAAAAGAGTGAGTCTTAGCTCATCTGCTCAGTTGGTACACACATGAACCGCTGAAATACAGACCCCCAAGTTGGAATCCAGATGACCAAAATATCTCCTGATGAGTCGGTGAAACTCCGACGAAACAGTTTGTCACAGCCCCTCGTTTGTTGTCCTCTTCTCCCT